TTGAAACAGGAAGTCCTTTTCCAGAAATAGTTTTATGTTAATCTATTGTATAGGTCAAGAGTTTTATATTATACAAAAAAAATCATCATAAAGTATAGTCCTGAACAAGTTATTTTCCTAGAAACAAAGTAACAAATGACTCCTAAGTCCAAATGGAGTCCAAGGCACCAACAGATATAAGGGAATAATGGATGAAGCTTTTGAGTATTACTTTGAAAAAACAGTACCCTGTCGTAGAAATATCACCCATCAGTTCTTGAAAAAATGGCTTAAAGCATAAGCTACGAAAATTCAATTGAGTATTATTAATAACATAAGAATTGTTAAGTTTGTATATCATGACATAATCTATGCTCCATGCCTTGCAGGAGGGGATAACTATTTTGACGAATCTGCAATCGAATGATAAAAAGATTCCCCGCCTCTTAAAATTTTAAAGGTGGAAGGGTAGCTGTGGAAAAGGGTCATAAGAATATTTGGGGCATTATAGGATTGAGCAGTTATGTATCTTGTTGTTGTAGACTACCAGATCTGTGTATGTTTTTTAGCTGAAGCCTCCAGTAACAACAATGTGGAAGGCATTTTGGAGGGAGTTAGGTGACAAATGTTTTATATATTTCTGCCCTCCGATTGCAGGGAATGTTTGTAAACTCTCAATGATGTACAACTTCCAAGCGTGTATTAGCTGTTTATGTTATAGCATTCTACCTTAGATTTTTCTGTTTGGGAACATGATGGCTGTTAATGCCTGCCAATCTGCCATTGGTGTTAGTTTGGTTTTTGATAGTATATAAACCCGCAAGGCTGCAAACTTAATGCTGCATTATCCTAGGTGTATGTATTATCATTTCATCTTTCTTTTTTAGACCTTCCCCAAACTATTTTTCTCGTATCAAATTGGCCATATTTTGTGGCTCATAATCAATGTTACATTTACATATTCAGTACCAAAACAATCTCACTTTTTTATATATATTTAAGCAAAATTGACACCAATAATCATATTTTTTTGCATGCAGTGAAATAATCCTTATTGAAAAAGTGCACATCAATAATCGATTATCTCAACTTGTTATACGCCTTAAAGTTTACTTTTCCGTTATTTTTGTATGTTCAGAGAAGTGAGAAATATACTCTATTAGAGTATTATATTTGATCCTAAACTTATTTTCGCCATGAATTCAAATTAACACTGAATATTTTCACAAAATATAGTACAATACATGGATAAATACTCATCAAGTTATCTTTTACTCTTATTCTTATCAATATTTTAAAAATATTCTTGGATTTTCATAATAATAGATATTTCAAAATATTCAAGTAATATCACATTAAGTATGAATATGAAGTAGAAATCTAGGAAGTATGTAATAAGTATATTTAACTTGGTCAAATAGTATAAATGTATAATTTGATCTCTTATAATTTGTGACTCATGTGGTAATAATATATTCAAACCCTCGTCTTCTAAAAAAAATTATACATTTAGATACTACTAACCCATGTTCCAAATATAATATCCCAGTTCCACAAATTTTAACGTAGTTGCATTTGAAATACATTTTGAATATAAAAGAGTTAACATTGTTAAATGACATTCATTTTATGAAACACTTAGCAAGATGATTTATTGTCAATTTATCGTGAGCTTTGTAATAGAGTTTTTATTATTATTTAAAGTAGTCATTATTGGTATGAATATGAACAAAACGACAATTAGAAAAAAGGCAAGTGAGGTGGACAAATATTTAATCGAACCGTGCCAAAATGAACTAAGTCAAATTTAACCCGAATCATATGCATTTCGGTTTGAGTAAATCAAATCGAACCGGAACTGTGAAAATCCGAACCGCACTAAATTATTCAATAAATTCTTCATAGAATTTTTAAAAACAACAAATTCAAACCGAACCGAACAACCACGAACTGAATCAACTTGAAATATAGTACTCGTATGATATTCTTTGGTAGTCATTCTTCCAATCCTTTTGAAACTGAAATGAAACTGATAGAAATCAAACCAAATGCAGAATTCCTACCTTAGGTTGGACTATGACTATGCAATGGCAATTCGTTTTTATGAATATATGTATGTAAAACCTATGATTCAGTTACTTATTTTAGGAAACAGGGACAAAGCATTTGTCAATGAACATGCTGGATGAGGCATGCAACAAGTAGAGCATTCACCTAAACTCGTTTTTGTATTTCGTATATCACTACCAAAAAAACACGGGATTGGCAGGGATTTTGGCACGAACTAGAAAAATCGGTAATCCGTGCCAAATTTCCGTGTCAATCCCGTGTTTTTTTGTAGTGATATTCTCTCATTATTTTTAGGCCCATGTAATTTACAACTTGGACTTGCATTAAATATCATAAACCTTTTGTGCTAAACTATCCTCCACCTATTACCTACATAGTTGCAGATGAACCATTCATACAACGATCATTCAACAGGACTTAAGTGTAACACTAGTTGCGTAGCAAATCTTTCCTGTCTTTCATATATTAATACGTAGTAACATTTTACCATGTCCACTCCTTGGAATGTGCACTGGGTCGTGTATGCTATTTTGTAGTTGTGTTTTCACGCAAATTCAAAATAAAAGGATACCTGGTCTCCAAAATTTTTCCAACATTCTTAAACCTTTTTTTGCTACCAATCATTCTTATTTTCATATCAAATAGTTCTGATATTGATTGTCATCTTTAAGGGTTTTGAAGGTGATTTTGATACATCATCTCAACACACACAACTCTACTTCTGTCCCTTGATTCTTACTCCATTTTGAAGTGTGTTGAGCATTAATTTTACTAAGCAAAATTCATATTCTTAATATCTAGCTATCTTTTAAGAGCAACATTGTGCATCATTTTGAGTTTTATTTAGTAATTCAATATACTCATATAACTATAATTTCTTTCGCTCTCTTAACTTTTAAATCTTTTGAGAGAAGGAGAACCCATGCTTCATACATTCACTTATACTCTTAATTGGTATAAACTATTGTATAAAGGTTAGGAAGATCCTACTTCGAATGGTTGAGGAAATCCGTTTGTAAATCCTCAAGCCCACTGGAAACGTTTTTTTTTTGCCAAAGATTCTTGCAACGCTTTTGCTCATTTTAAAAGAGACCAGAGAACTAGTGAACTTTGAAATGCTGAGAGATGTGTCTTTGGATACTGAATTAGGCGCGCAGCCGAACTAATATACATCAAAGTGTCATCTACTCCCTCCGTCCCAGGGAGAAGTTCCCGGGTTGACTTTCACACATATTAAGGAAATAAAGTTACTGAGGGGTAAATTTTACTGTTTGGCGCTGTTTCGACACTGTTTGGCGCTGTTTCGACACTGTTTGGCACTGTTTTGCACTGTTTGGCACTGTTTTTATGTAGGATAACTTTCCATTCAAGGAAATGAGAACTTTTTGTTGGGACTATCAAAAAAGGAAATTGGGAACTTCTCTCTGGGACGGAGGTAGTAATATATTGTATAATTTTTTTCATTGTTCTTTTTGTGTGGGAATATCATTGATTTCAAACCTCTCTTTACACACTTGGAAGATCTCACTCTATCCTCTAATACTTAAATGCACCAAGTGACATTTGAATTTTTCTATCCTAGAGAGAAGGTTATATATGCTGAGTGTTAGATTTTTCTTATATCAATTTAGCGATATTGAAACTTAATTGTATATATATTCTGCTGCATAGATGTTTCAAAGTAAATATAGTTCATCTACCTCTTAAATTGTACACCCTCTTTTATTTTACTTTATGCTTTTATAGTTTTATGTTATATACTTCCTCCGTTCTTAAATAAGTGCAACGGTCAACATTTCACATTTGTCGAGATACAACTTTGACCATATATATATATATAAATCTCTATTAGTAAAAAAATTTAAAAAATCAGATTTTGAAAATTTACAATGAGACAAATTTAATAATATTTTTTTCAAAAATATATATTAATACATTAATAAATAAAATGTAGTCAAAGTAGAACATGCGAATATGTAAAATTTGGTATGTTACACTTATTTAAGAACGGGGTAGTATACTATAGTACTACGTATTTGCAATCAATGGTTATCCATATCATCATAATTCATAACGATACAACGGCAAAATCTATTGATACACCAGCTATCAATTGAAAGAAAAAACCAAGTGACATATCAAAATATTAAAACAAGCGTTATTGGCCATTACATCCAGATATTTCATCGTCCACCTACCTTGGCCATATACATAACTCTTTGAGAAGCTTACTGAACATCATATAATGGGTAACATTAATTTTTATGGATGTATTATGTATACATAGTAAATGGAAGTGGAGTAATATATCATGTCATTTATTGCATGCACTTATTATATGGATAAATCCAATAACAATTTATTGAGATTGTTGATATAGAATTCTCCTCTTTCCTTCTTCATCCTCTTTTCTCTACTTTTTTATGTCAATTTTTATTATTATTTAACAAAATCAACTTATTCATCTTATTTCATCTATCTTGATTTTTTTTTCTAATTTTCTTTAAATTACAGGTAAATTAATTACACATACAAGTACATCATTCATTTGGATGTATATAGACAATTAAATTTTTTGTTCACCTAGACAATTGAAAGTTGATCACACAGATAACTATTATCTGTGAGCTGCACAATTATTGTCCGTGTGATAAATATTGTCTGTGCAAACAAACAAATAATTGTTTGTGCAACATGAAAATGTTGTCTATGCACACATGCACTGCATATATATTGATTGATTTGCAAGCTGGTGTCACTGTAGACGAATGTCAGTGTACTTTTTACAATAAAAGTAAATGTTTGTAGACATAACAATTCTGTACCAATTTTATGTGACCGTCATTTTTTGTACAAGTTGTGTATAACTTGTGTACCTCTAGCATTTTTTGTAGTATACAAGTATCTCTTGGAATTTCTTAGTAGAGTTTTGCATATATATTAACCGTTAGATTTTTTTTTCGATCCTTTCCTTTATTGAGGACCAAATGAAAATTTAGGACTCCAAATTATTCGTTTATGTCCAAAACCAATCGTTTAAATTTCCCAATTGTAGATTTGCCAATCGGCTTCCCTGTTTTCGTCGTCTCCACCGCATCTTCTCTGCTAGCCAATCCGAATATCCTCAATCGAAATACCACCCAGAATGCAAGAAACCAACGCCGTTCACCAAGTACTCGTCAAGCTTCTCGATGGCAAGCACAGAACCCTAAATTTTTCCAGCCAATCCGTTCCTGTTCAAACCCTAAAACAAAAGATCCAAACGCTAACTCTAATCCCCGCTCCGCTACAACTTCTGCTATCTTCCGACTCCCGTTGCGCTTTACAGGACCACCAAACACTCGATTTCGAAACCCGATCACAACAAAAACCCGTTTCAGAAAACAAGTCGGGCAATGAGTCCGGCTATTTCCCCGTGGTGATCCACGTGTTACTCCGGCTGAGAGGTGGAAAAGGTGGGTTCGGTTCGTTGCTCAGAGGGGCGGCAACGAAGGCCGGACAGAAAAAGACAAACAATTTTGATGCTTGCCGGGATATGAGTGGAAGGAGGCTCAGGCACGTTAACGCCGAGAAGAAATTGGAGGAGTGGAAGGCTGAATCTGGAGAGAGGAGATTGGAGAAGATGGCTGAGGACTATATAAAGAACAAGGCCAAGGAAATGGCTAAGAAGGAGAGCGGGAGTAGGAATAAGAATGGGGAGAGCACGGAAAAGTATGTGGCCAAGTACAGAGAGGACTCAGCTAAGTATGTGGAGCTAATTGAGAAGTCTGTGAAGGAGTCACTTAAGGGATGTCTGTCTTCTAAAAGGAAAGCTTCAGACCTGAATAAATCAGATGCCAAGAAGCTAAAAATATGGTATTCTTTTTTACTGAACTTATTTTCCTGAATTAGGTTTTAAATGCTTAATGATCGTACCTAAATCCCTGGGGGTTTTGTTTTTTACTAGATATGACTTAGAGTATATATTATGCTCAGAGTCTTGATAGTATGCTGTTAGTTTCTCACCATGCGTTTTTTTTTTGTCAGGAAGGGTAAGAGAATAATGGACAGCAGTGACAGTGACAGTGAGGATTCAAGTGACAGTGATGATGATAAAGATGCAGAGGATACGATTTCTATTGTTATAGATAATGGGAGTCGTTCTGAATCAAGTGCGGAACCAAGTAGAAGTGGAAAATCTGCTATGTGCGGAAAATTTGATATGGCTAGGTCTGAGGAAGATGAGAAGGTCAACATTGTCCAAGGCTGTTCTGAAGTTTGTATAACAAGTACTGAAGGGCAAACAGCTCAGGATGATGGTCAAAAGGAGACCAGACTGACTCCAGAACATGGATGCACGTCTTCTCCAGAGGAAATGCTAAAGATGTCTGACAATGAAGTGTCCTGCAATCCTGAGCTTGTTCTTGCTAATGAAGTGGTTGGTCAACCCACAATCCAGTCTACTTTTGTTCAGGATGCCAGCGAGCATTCAGTCTCTAAACCTGCTGTCATAGAAGTAGAAATTTCTGCAACTGCTCCAGATAAAAATTTGATTATGCCCTTGAGTTTTGATGGGATTAACTCTTCTGCAGAATTGGAGGTAAACCTTCGATTGTTGGAATAATTAAAAAACATCTACATTATAATCTTCTACGTAGTATCTTATTGTACATCGACAGACTGGAAGGATAATTTTGATAACAGTATGGAGATGTAACTATGCTTGGTTTTTTATATTCCTGAAAGAAAATTGCTGACTAGAAGTTTTGACACGAAAGTCATTTACTTGCTAGCAGAAATGCAGGATTTTAACATAGTAAATGTTGATTTTATTTCCTGGACTTTATGTTGATTTATTGTTTGCAGTTCATAGCTGATTTGGTTCTTTTTTCCTCATGTTTAATTTAGGTTCTTGGTATGGATAGACTTAAAGCAGAACTTCAAGCTCGGGGGTTGAAGTGTGGGGGAACATTGCAAGAGCGCGCTGCAAGGCTTTTCCTTCTCAAAACCACACCTCTAGATAAGCTTCCAAAGAAGTTTTTTTGCAAGAAATGATCATTGACATATCTTGTTTGGAGTTTCTCAGTTCTCACTTGATGGGTTAGTATTTGTGTGACATGTGTATTCAAGCAGTGAATGCAATATGGAGGAAAAAACAAAGCTTAGAATTTGTTTCTTTGCCTAATATGTAATTATGAAATTACGTGTTAGTGTTTGATCATGTCTTGTCCTCTATTTTCCTTGCACTCTGAAACAGTACAGAAATGAAAACCATCATAATATTACATTTTACACTTGTAGTTGCCCCCCCCCCCAAAAAAAAGACCCACATCATCCCGGTACGAGTTTTTTTTATTGAGGTGCAGTACAACTCTTGTAATATATTCACTCTAGTTTATTTTTCCATTTTGATGAACTTGTTTGGAATATTCTTTGGAAAATTACATCAACTGCAATTAAAATTAGCTTATTTTGTTGATGTGTGTAGGTTATCTAAATATACATCCAAAATTAGTCATTGAAGTTTTGCATAAGCTGAATTGATTTCCGTAAATTCCGTTACATACTCTCTTGTCCTATAATTCTCTTCTCACTCCTGGGGATCTATTGATTTTTTTTGCCATTTTTGTAATTTTTAAATCAACCACAACTATACGGAGTATAATACTTCCTCTGTATTTTTTAATTGCCTGCTTTCAACTTTCACGTTTGTCAACACACAACTTTGATCATTAATATATTTAAATTCCTATTTGTAAAGTATTTTAAAAATCAATTTCTGAAAATTAGAATGAAAAGAATTGAATTATATTTTTAAAAATTAATTTTTTATGCAATAATATATAAAATGTACTCTAGTGTAAAATTTCTAATGTTGCAATTATTTAGGAATTAGTAGGAACTTATTTTAGGATGGAGGAACTATTTCCATATGGTAGTGGCATGTACATACATGGAGTATAGTATATTTGCAATCACTAGAGTTTGCACTCTTACATCAAGTCTGGTATTTGGGAATAAAAGAATGGGGGGAGCAAGTGAAGTCCTACAAAGAATGAGGGTTGGTTTGCAACCACCTCTCGAGTCTCAAGGTAATGAACATGGAAAGCACCTTGACAGCAATTCAGCAACTCTGATCTCTGTTTAGGGCGGTGTTATTGGCTAATGGACTTGCTAGCCATTCGTCATTGTCTTCTTCAAACACAAGTGGTGCATTGACTCTGATATGAGTCCAGACATAATCCCAGTATCTGCTGCTAGTGGCATCTGGTCGTTGAACCGCCATCTCATTTGTTGCTTGGGTGGTCGCCATATCCTGGGGGCAAATTGGTGAATTCCTGCAAATTGGACATGTGGATTTGGTTTCCAACCATCTTGCAAGGCAATGAACATGGAAAGAGTGTTGACAGCCATGCATTAAGCCTAGTTTTTGTTCTGGCTGGTAATCTTCTTGGCAGATGGCACAAGAGTTCTGCCCTGGCAGTGGCAGTCTCCCACCATTTTCATACACTCTCTGCGTGTAGTACAATCTTATATCTATGTTCGTCGGCCGGCTACTTGAAGTGGCTGTCTCTGACTCCAGTGGATTTTGTATTGCCACAGAGCTTGGTGCCTGCCGTGTTTGGTTAGTGGGTCTTGTGGTCCCTGCCACCGGATTCGGTAGTGCCATGAGATTCAGCGGCTGCTGTGTTTGATTAGTAGTTCTTGTTGTCCTCATCACCGGATTTGGTCGTGCTATAGGATTCAGTGCCTGCTGTGTTTGGGTAGCAGTCGTCGGAGTCCCCATCACCATATTCTGCTGCCTTCTATTCCTCCCAGAGCCATGGTATGGACGTCTGTTGTATACCTTCCTTATATGGATGAAACACCTCATGCAAACCATGGCTATAACAGCCGGGAGGACTATACACAATGCACTAATCAAGAAAATCCTAGTCCCCTTTCTCCTTAGTGACCTGCCTGTTATCACTGCCTTCATTAGATTATTCTGAATGAGAAAATGACGTAGGATGTTTTTACTTGGACTGTAATTTGCTGGTCCAGTCTGGTAAAAATGTCTGGTCTCTATGTATTTTATAACTATGAGAGTCTAGTTTAGTCTCGTCTGTTTAAGTCGGGTATGGTCTAAGACTTAAAACAGTCGAAATAAAACATCCTTATACTTCGTCTGTCTCATTTGGTAAGATACATTTTCTTTACGGTCGAAATAAAACATCATTATACTTCGTCTGTCTCATTTGGTAAGATACATTTTCTTTTTTAGGTTGTCTATAAAATATGATCACATTCCTAAATTGGACTCCATTACCTTTTTATTTCCCCACTTATCCTTTTATATTATCGTACTACTTCCGTTTTTAAATAAGTGCAACATCCTAAATTTTACACTATTCACATGTTCTACTTTGACTACGCTTAATTAAATAATGTATTAATATATTTTCTTGAAAAAGATATTGATAAATTTGTATCATTGTAAATTTTCAAAATCTATTTTTTTAATTTTTTTTACTAATAAAGAATTATACATATTAATGGTCAAACTTGTGTCTCGGCAAATGTAAAATATTGACCGTTGCACTTATTTAAGAAGTGAGGAAGTATATCATTTCACTCTTTTACCTTTTGTGGACTCAACTTTCTCTTTCTTACTTTTTGGAGGTTAAATTTGAAAAACAATCACTTTATCATTTATTTTCTTAAAGTCTGCACCAAACTCATATTTATCTTACATTATAGGATGGAAGTAATATTTTTAATGTTTATCTTTCTATTGTGGGGTGCATGTGCGGTTGACGAAGGCCGGTTTCGATTCAAGACCGTCTGGTCTCGTATTTGGTAATAAATACGAATGTATTTATTAGAAATGTCCATGTCTAGAATGTATTAGAAATGTTTGATGTATACCTTTTAGTGTACACTTTGGTTGATTCGTCCACACAGGCAAAATCTTTCGCATACAGACAATTCATATTGAAATATAAAATTGTGCGTTTACAGACAAAATTTGTCGGCGTAACATACAAAATGTATCAAAATGCACACCAAGTATTTTTCAAAATGGCGAGTAAACTCAATTCGAAGGGTTTAAAGTCTAAACTATGTTGAGCAAGACCCCACCACTTACTCTTTATCTTCCTTAACATAACCATATTGTAAGACAAGCCCAAACCCACTTTTTGTCCTCAATCATTCATTTTATCAACTTTTCTTTTATATTTGTCCAAAAAACACTTTTAAACTAATGAATTTGTGGTTATTTATTTTTCCCTCTTCTGCACAAACATTAATCATACAATGTTTAGTATTCTAGTTTCACATTCAATGAATTTGACAAAATTGAGTGTCACGATGTGAGTACTAGGTACTAGGTAGTATTTACTTGAAAAATCTGCAATTGCATTTCATGATTCACCTCAATCTATGACTTTGCTGCATGTTATTTTTCAATGACCATGCACCCCGAGCAAGTTCTTTTGCATCCCTTTCTAAATTATAAAGAAATTAATCTAAATAGGAATAAAAACGTTTGTTAGTTAAAAAATAAATTTATTACTACGTATATTTTTACTTTGTAAATAAGAATAATTACTCACCCGTTTCTTATTAACACACTTTAAGTTTAATTAAAAAAATTAACACACTTTAAGAATGATATACGAGTAGTATTTTCCAAATTTGAGTAGTTGACCACAATTAGTGAAAATATAGTTCTGTTGTTTTGGAATTTTCCCGTGCAAAGTCCATTTTCTGCCTCTGCATTTAGCCTAACAATGCTTAGGCGTCTTTATGCATCCTCAAACGAGTTTTTTAGCGCATCATTAGCTACTACTAAAGCGAATCGAAAGTGAGATGATTACCAGACGGTGGAGGAATGGCGGCGGTGGTATTGTCGAAATTGCAACCGATGGATTGGATGGTATAATCTGCATAGGGAGCAAATGAACAAACGCCGCCCTCCTCCGCCTCACACGACCTGCAATCCGGCGAACTCCATCCCAGTCGAAAATCAGAGGATGAAGAAACCCAGTCCACGTCATCACCGGAAACCGGGACCCGCAAATCAGCAGCGAACGTCTCGCACACTGCGCTCAACGCCGTCACGGCCCTCGCGGAAGAAGTCGCAATCACGGAGACGGACGAGTTGCCGAGGCATCCTATGACGGAGAAGGAGGACGAGTTCGCGGCCTTCTTCACGGCGGCGCGTTTGGGGCACCGGAGGAAAGTATAGTTGCGGTAATGCAGCGGCGCGAAAGGGGAGAAGGAGAGGTCGAGTTTCAAAAACCTCCTCGGGAGGCAGTTCTGCGGGTCGTAGAGCTGGATTTGCTGGCCGGAGTAGTTGATGCTGCGGACGAAGAAGTCTCCGGAGGAGGGGAGATTGAAAACCACCGGCGGTGGCGGCGATGAGGAGTGGCTGCCGCCGCTGGAATTGCTGCACCGGAGAGTGAACAGAGGATCATACGCGCAGCTCATGAAAGAGGGCTGATTTTCTAAACCGAAGGGGAATCGTACGGACACCCCGCCTTCGCCGCACGTGGACGGCTGGCAACCCGCAGCTCTTGTGAGGACTAATAGTTGGGTTAAGAAAATAAAAAGCACTGCTGCTTGCAGAATGGCCATATGCTATTTTTTTTTAAATCTTAGTTTGATAGGTAGCCTGCTAGGATCATCAAGATATAATTAGTGGAAGAAAAAGGCTTCTTGGAGACCCAGAGGAAAGGGGTTGACCAAAGTCACGGGGATAACCGTCACTTTATTTACAAATATAGTAGGATACAGATACGGGGATATATTTACAAATATTAAAAGTTGTGGGGTGTAGTTATAAATATTAAAAATTATGGGAATGTGCTTATAAATATTAGAAATTATAAGATTATTTTTGAAAATATATACATATATTATATTCTGACCTCGTTCCATTAATGGCATTAAATCATTTCACATTATCAAGATAGTTAGAAATAAATTCATATTCCATCTCATATACACCGGTGCATCTTAAGATATAAACGTAGTCAATAAGTTATTAATTTAAAATGAGAAACGAGTCAAACAAACACAATTTTAGGATGTTTTCTTTTGGACTGTTTTCAGTCTCAGACCAGATCAGACCAGACCATACTTGACTTTCGTAGTTATACAATACACAGAGACCAAACGTTTACCAGATCAGACCAGACCAGACTAGCAAATTTCATTCCAAAAGAAAACATCCTTAAAGTTAAAAGTGCAAGTACTAAAGTTCTTGGAATCCCTTGGATAATGGAGATGAAAACAATACTCTAATAAATAAATAAAAACTAAAAGTTCTAATACATATTTTCACTAGAGTTACTAATTTCCAAAGATACATCATCTAAAAAAAGACAGTCTCCAATTCTGGTTCATCTATGAAAAAGTTAGCGAACTCAAGTACTCCTTTAATTCAAGTACTGCTTTACTCTCAAAGTCATCTTCACCAACATCCATATACTTAGTTGTGTGTGAGATTAAAACAACGTTAAATTTGTTTTGTTTTCTTTTTTTAAAGTTGATACGTGTATTCGTCACGATACGGGCATCTGAAATTTTAAAATAATTGCTCAAAAAATTGGAGACTTTTAATAAATTACAAATACAACCGGGAACGTATGGTATGAGTATTTGATACGAGGACGTTTTTTATACGCCGATACGGTACTCTAATGAAGTATCCGTGCGTCCTAGAGTATTTGATACGAGGACGTTTTTGATATGCCGATACGGTACTCTAATGAAGTATCCGTGCCTCATAGGTTATATGTTCTAATAATATATTTAATAGTTTTGTATAAATATGTGTGTTCAATTACTTTTGAAAACTTAGAAAGGGACCTTGATAAAAGGGTGACATTTCATATTAGGAAGTACTACGTAGTATGTTACGGAGTACTATGTAATGATATTGAATTTGTACAGATTTTATTTTAGTAACATGCACTTAATATTATTTTACATCCAATATTTATCCCGTTTTCTTTTGTTATCCACCTCATTAAATTTGTATTATAAGATATCGGGAATCAATATTATATTATTAGAATGGTTCTAAACTTCTAATTATTTATTGTTTTTTTATATATTTAATATTAATACGGAGTAACACATTTCTATTTTTTTTTATATATGTGTCACTTATTTATGTCTCCAACATAGTTTGTTCATAAAAAGACATTGATCAAAATCATTGACTAAGAAAGAAATGTTAATTTTCAAGAACGGGTAAAGTATATATAACGAGACAAATTTAGTGGGACGAATAAAAAGAGAATGATGAGGGGAAATAGGCGGGACAAAGGGGTTAGAGTATTTTATAAATTTTAGAAAATTTGAAACTTTGAAATATAATTACAAATGTGTATATGTTATTGTACTATTGGATCCAAAGATAACAGTATAACACAACAAATCCTCTAACAAACTCTAATTTAGAATTCACTTTAATGAGATGTTCAATCCAATCTGCAATTCCTTAAAAAGTACTACATATATTTAATACTGTAGAATCTCCATTCAATTGAATGATTGATTTGCCACTACATGTGAATCATTCTTGAGTTCTAGACTTCTAGTCACATTGAAATAATTTCTTTACAGAATTATATCCTTTTACAAATTTACTCTTTTCAAAAGAAAAATTACGCATTCTTCTTTTGATGTATTATTAACACTTTTGTACTTGATGCATGTTACTTTTTATTCGACTTATATAGACAATTTAAGTTATTTGGAGTAATTGTTGAATTTAATTACGAAAAAGTCTAAAGCCTTATGTCTGTAGATCATTTTTTGTAGACCACCGTGATCATAAAAAATGTACCCAAAGTATGTAGCCATAAATTTACTACGTAATTACACAAATTTTACTATATGTAAAAATATAGTGATTGTGTAAAAAATGTAAGTGGAAACTGAGGTGGAAAAAGGAGATGAGAGGAGAATTTTGGAGTTTTTGGGCCAGGCTGATTGGTTCGGGTGACTTTCCAGGTCTATTTTTCTTTTACTTTTGCACGACTCAATCACTCAAGTCCCAATCCTAGGGGATTTTGCTCTTGCTAACCACCATCTTACACAATTACCCCTAAGTAATCAACCTTGACAAATTAGAGTGTTAGAGTGGTATATAAACGCGTGGCATTTCCCTTTCTTAGTTTCTAAGCTTTGTTCGCTCTTTCCCAATTCCTTCAGTTGGTCACTCTATGTCTCGCTTGGACTTCAACTGTAGTGAAGTGTATGGTGACATTTCTTTTTGTCTTTTTGTAATCTGAACCTCTTAAAGTGACGGCAGGAAACCAATCAGATAAAGTGCTAGACAAAAGGGGTTATGATCAGAGCCATTCGATCTTCCCTTATATTATTATTTCAATGTCAGGATGAAGACATACCTTAACGCTTGCACCCAAAGAGGGTAGCTGCTGATGCCTTACGTGTGAAGAAATTAGTATTATTGCTGGGTAAAAGTTGTACTTTTATTTTAGCAGACAAAATTGATGATATACGAAGTATCTCTCCATAGCTAGGTCGCTAATTAGACCAAGTAATTGAGAACGTCCTGAACTGCTAGACTAAGTTGGCGCAAGTTTAAAACATCGTCTGGTAAGAAAGATGACATTAAAAGAACCTCTATTCCAGCCTGGACTAAAATTATGAGTATAGATATATATGCAGGGCATTCAGAATCATCATAGGAGTGACTAAAGTAGTTGCTGAGATATTCTGATTGAAACTATTTCACCATCGCTTCCTGCCTTCATGCCATGGTATTTCACTTGAAGACCTGGAAGTCGTCAGATCGACATTAACCACCCAAAACATGCTTTAATATAAGCGAAGCATACACGTCCTTGCATATTTTAAACCAGAAAAGTTGAATTTATTACCGTCATTTGGTTGTAAGTTGGTGTTGACTGCCACTGCATGAGGGGCAACAACAGATTTAGGCTGCCAATCATTTGGTTTCCCCTTCCATGAGTCAAAATCAAGAACCACTGTATGTAAAGCAATTGAGCATGAGCCATGGTATTTCTATTTATTTTATAATCTAAATTGTGAAATAATAAATGAGTTCAGTAAAACTGACTTTGGGTGGTGCAATCTTTGAGATGCCTGATATCAAAAATTGCAGCAGTTGCTCCATCTGCTCTCTTCTTCACCTCATGGGTCCCTAGCAACTCATAATTCCAGCTTCCATCCTGGTACCCCTCACTCAGGAACAGCTCAATGTGTCTTGCATCTAATGTCTGCATTGTTCCTGCATCCATATAAAAAACATAGGGGACATATATGTATATGATTTCAGACAATGAAAACACCTTGACAGAGTTAGTTAGCTTACCATCACATGTATTGAGATCACAGACCGGGCATCGAACAAGTTGTAAATCTGCAAGAGCAAGCACAGATGAAATCCTCTGGTGATAATGATAAGTGTGCATCACGATCTCTTAGGCATATCTCCTTATATATACTCCCTATGTAGTTACACTGTTAGAAAATCTTTGTCCAGTTCACTGTCAAAATTCTATAGCACTTAATACCAGAGTGGTTTCCTGTCAGCTCCTTTTATTTAATTTCTTCGATTGGCCAGATTCACTATTTGGGCACGCATGTATCTTCTGTGACCGTAGAATGAAGTATGCAGCCATCTGTGATATTTTTGTTTTGTTTTAACTCTACCTACATTTCTTATCATTAAAATCACCTTATTATTTGTCTGAACTATGTATTACTACAGTACTACTTTACTTCAGCCTACATCATGTATTATTATGAGGTTTACTATGCTAATTAAGAGCGTATCTCTTGTTATGAGTCATATGCCAATCTATTTTTGCTTTATCTAAACTGAAGACAGAGAAGGCTGAAGGGGCCGAGGCCCCCCAAGAAAAAAATACAATGTACATATGTATACATCAATATCTATATAATCCAGATGTCACTCAGTATATATTGAAAAATTAGTCAAGTAGTACTTTTTATTTGGAAGTAAGCTTACCAGCAAGCCAAATGCCACTCCTGATAGGGCTTACCACGCATCTGCCATTCAGCTCCACCATTTCTTCTGTTGTTTCTTCTCTTGGGATTCTTAAAGGAGTAATTAGATTTTCTGTAAGAAGTGCAGCTTGTGAATCGAAAACAAAAGCTCCAATGCGCATCCAGTCTGCCATGTTATACATATATATTTAGAGAGAAATCAGTGAGATCATACTGCCCTGATGCTGGGGAAAAGGATTTTGTTCTATGTGAATATAAGTTTAATTGAGTCAAGAAGATAATAATATTAATCAGGGGGATTCACCAATGTGCTTATCTGCCTGGCGGAACATGTAAGAATGACTGCCATCTACCAACAATTGAGCAATTCATCAGATTGAAAAAAAATGATTTCATTGTCAGTGCATATATTATTGGAAGTATTAAGTGAAAGTAGTTAGTTACCGAAGGCTGTAGCGTATAGCTTAATCCATTTGCAACCCACTTTTCCAGGATCAGAAACCTCAAGGTCACGCAAAGAAGCGTGCTTCCAGACACTCTCACTCATGATGACATGTTGGAACCACTTACAAGTTGCTGCAAGCATTATCAACGACTTCCCATCCAAATACTTTGCAATCTCTGTCCACGTGTCCTCTTCATACCTTCAGCATTGAATCATAGCAGAGCAATGAGAATTGAGAAACATATAGTCTCCAGGACCAACTGTATACCAGATGCAGTTTCTGCAGCTTAATGAAATGTCAGTATTGGTAGCTGGATTTCAAGCAAATTGTTTATAGCATACAATTGATCGCAAGCAACCACACTTTCAGAATTAATTCGCTGAGGAATCTAAGAAACACAGATAATAGTAGAACCGCAGATTTGTAATGCATCACCACTGACTCACTGAGGTGAATTAAGCTTAGCAATTATACAGGAACACCAGTGGTATCAAATTTCTTATCAGCATTTGAACAAATCACGAACAGAGCTTGGAAAAAAACAGGAGCTCAAGCTCAAAAGAGATTAGTGCACAACAATTCTCATCACACTAATCAAATACGAAGTACAATAGGCTATACTCCGTAGTTAACAGTTCTAAGTAATTGAGCTAAATTGCATAATTCGCCAGTTCAATTCAAACTCACACAAGCCACAGAGAGAAACATTCGCATCGAACAAACCAGACTTCACTTCGATTTTCAATATCACTCTAAGCTGTTCGTTCATTTCGCACATGCATTCGTATGTAAAAAAACAAACTCTATGTATTCAAATTCAGATACGTTTCAGAAATGCACAGATGCAGTGGGGGGGCATAGAGAGAGAGAAAAAACCAGGAGAAGATGGAGTGAGGAGTTAGAAACTTCAATCGAGGAGAGACGCAGCAACGGATCGATCTCATTTTCCGAATTCGTTTCCCCATTGTTAGTTATCTGTGCTCGAGCTCCTTCACTCTGTTCAAGGCACTGTTAAGTTTTGGATTTGCAGGTTCGAAAACGGAAAGCCTTGTCAGAAGTTTAAAGCTGATGGGCTTTTATAGGCGCGCTCGCGCTAAAATTCAAAATGGCCGAATCTGGTAGTTGCATGGTTCGAAGCGTAACGTGTCGTAGTTGCGCTGATCAACAAATGTCACGCATTTTACTTTGAACTCAGTTCATAATAAACTTTCTTATTTTGCTAAAAATATTTAATACTACGTCCTAAATATTTCTAAATATTAAGAATTAGTTGACCAATAATTCCAGAAAACTAGTAAAAATCGGACCGGAAAGTGACCCGGCCAAAATGACCGGGTCATGGGTCAACTGGACATGGGTGGTCAACCTAATTAAAGCTACAAAACCGGTCAAAATTTATATAAACTTAAACATATATATATAATTATATATAAAGCTAAATTTAAAAACAACTATGTAAACTTTTTCCATCATTTGCAATGAAACCAAATATTCATTATTTTTTTGCTTGAAAATATGATGGAATAAAGCAAAATGGCTCACTAAACTGTTTGCGCTTCTTTGTTATCAAGCAGCAGTCAGCCCATGCAATTTTGGATGCGATTTTCACTATGGGTCATCCAGAAACAGTCTCTCTATGCTTTAGTACAGGGGTAAGACTGCGTACATCCGACCCCCCCCTTACCCCACCGTAGGTGGGAGCCTTTGCGGCACTGGGGTAAATGAAAATGAAAATGATGAAATGATTCTTAACAATCAACTAATGATAAAATTAGGTAAGCATTTAAACCACTTATATTATTTCAAATATAATTTTGGTCTCATTAGACTTTAGAATAAATGATGTGATTTGTCTTTTGTATTGTATTGTAATATAATTTGATATAAATTTCTTTCTTAAATAAATATATAAATATGTCGCATATTTTTTCATTTAGGATACGGCGTATTAAAGTTGCAATTCATTTGGTTTAAAAATACTTAGAAGCAAAATAATATGAAAAACCCCTCTGAAACCTGGTTTTACTGGGTTTTTCTGGGTTAACCAGGTTTCGGTCATTTCCGGGTTTTGGTCATCATCGGTTTCTGGGACACCCCAGCCGGTCCGGGTTGTTTTTCAAACATAGCTCAAAGCCAACAATTATTGAGTACTAGGTGCAAAATGTGATATTCTTTTAAGTGTAAAAATTAAGGACACACAAAAATTGACTTCTACCACATAAGTCTCGTTAAGATAAAGATAGAGAGATAAGGTAACTCTTGCAATTATTAAAATAAAATTATATTAAATTGATACTCCGTAAAATGTAATTAAAATAGAATAATGTTGAACCACGTAAATACTACCATAAACTGATCTTCTAGAATCACAATACTCTCGATGAACCATGCTAGCCTTGTGAACTACGCACGTGAAATATGTTACTAGCCCATCCTTCAATTTGAAAAAAAAAAAAGATTTTTAGTTCAAGATAAATTATATAAAAAATTATTTTGAATCTTTTTGTAATAATAGCCTAGTGTATCTCTATATCCTCATAAGTCATACCTACGCCATTGGACACAATGAAATGTTCATTTTAGACCAAGTAGCAGGATCGGTCCCTTTGGAGGACAGTGAGGCCAAGCATATCAACACAAGCTTGGAATTTTAATATAATCCAAAAATTAATTAAATTACTCACGTGTAAAAAACTAAGCCAAAAATTTGCTACTACATACTTTTTATTAACTTATATGTTTTTTTATTAATTTGCTTTTGATTCTTGTTTACTTTATGTTTGTATTGATTTATTTTATCTACTTTGATTGGTGTTTAATTTAAGTTTACATTTATTTATTTATATATTATTTATGTATTTATTTATTTATTTATATCAATATGCGTTGTTTTTGGATGTTGATGAAGTCTTCATGTGTTTCGATAACCGAATGAACTATGATTTTGGTACTGCTATGATGATAAGTTTTCAGTTTATGTTATAAAGTCTACCACGAATACACACTCTTGAGTTTTAAAAGGGGATGACTCGATATGAGATCCCAAAGAAGTGAATGAAAACATGGCAAACCATGAATAATACGGAGTATTAAAAGTCACTTGAAAGAAAGGTAAAGCGAAAGGTAGTTTAAATTTTTAGAATGTTAAAATTTGAACTTACATTTTAAGCTGGGGGTTCAACACTTCAACTGTTCAACATAAGGGTTCCTAACGAATACGCTCTTAAGTACATAATAATTAAATAGAATTTTTAATTATTAAGTGTAAATATTATCCGTATATAATTTTAACTAATTAATGATATAGATGTAAAAGTATTTGGCCATGGAACTGTGTTAGAGAAACTGTGGCCTTTGGCTATTGGCAATCTCTTTTACCAAAATAGATTGTCACTTCATCATTGATAAAATTCAAGAAAGAAAAAATCGCATAACCTTTATTCTGTTTCACCAACAACTTGTGCAGGAGGACAAATTTTTCCTTAAAATTGTTTTCTTATATGTCCTCTATTATTTCTTTATATTAGATCATTGAATAAGCGCTATTGGTTTCCTTCTCTCCTTTTATAGCCGTTATATTATATCAATGTCTGTGTTTGGGTAATAGCTTCTTCGCTTCAAATCCTTCAATCCGCTGTTTTCCCAAATGAAAACACTGCATTTTGCAACTGTTAGGTTCTAATTCGCCAAAAAACAAACATGGCCAATGTCTCTCACGTGTGTGAGATAGTAGTACCTCGATCCCGTAATGTCAAATACATATGAATTTGGTGAATTTTATGAAAAAAACTAATAAAGTCATTGTTTTACAAATTTAACATCTAAAAAGTGAGAGAGAAAGATGGGTTCACAAAATGTGAAGGATGAAATAATATATAAAGGGATAAAGTGAGAAAGTAAAGTTAGTAAAATCCAATTTAGGAAAGTTATCAATTTTTTTGTGCAACTCAAAAATGAAAGTGTATCTTACAAAATGGGACAATTAGTGTAACTTCTTCCTGATTTATGTTCTGTCATTAATTATCTCCAAAACTAAAAGTTGCAATGTGAGTTCCTTTGTCATAATCCTTGTAAAATAATTCAACACTTACAATTTATGTTGGAGTTTAACCCTACTATTAAATCATGTTTACTAATTGTGTTAATGATAAACGCTACTATCCTGGAACTCCCCGGAAGATAGTTCCCTTACAGGCTTACAGATAGACAACAATATTACTCGCGAGGTGTTATCATTTGGTAATGTGTTGTCAATACAAATTCTACTTCAATGTAGCCAAATTGACATTGAAACATGACACTTTCTCAGTGGGTATATAACTGCGTATTTTGAGATAATATAAGCGCGTACATTTCATCATCTCGGCTATTTGGGGGGGGGGGGGGGGGGGGAATACAGGCAATATAATGGGTACATCGAAAATGAGCCTACTTATATGGGAAAAATCAAACATATATACTCAAAAAAAATCTGTACATTTGTTGACTTAGTTCATAAATTTGCGGCAGTTGGGAGCTCTACATAGGCAGGGTACTCTTTTCTCATCATGCTCATCAGGATCAAACAAGTAATCATACCTGTTACACAAAAAAAAAATGGATGCAAAGATATTTAACTAAAACTGAAATTGAACATACATTTCAACCCACTAACAAGTACAAAGAGAGTGGAGAGAGAGAGGGAGAGAGAGAGTTAATACGTTAATTCATCTCCAGCTGAAACATTAGCCCTGGCAATGAGAACGATTCGGCTATCCTCTTCGCCTACACTAATAATCCTTGCATAGCAGTTGGGCATGCACTGCATTTTGAAACCAAAACATATGCATTATTGATCACTCACTTCAGATAGTTAAATGTGAAACTCTACTTGGAAATACGACATTCACATAAAAACAAACAACTAAAAACAAAATGGACATTGATCAGAATTTATATGCATAGTACTTTGTAACCAGCCTTTTGTGATAATAAGAGAGCTTACTGAATGATTAATTAGGCGAGCAATATTTCCTTTGTTGGTGGCATCAATGACTACTTCATCACTGATTTTGAATAGCTGATGGAGACAATTAAAGTATTTCAAGTAAGAAACTAAAGCAGATAAAACACTCACAAAACAAATGAATACTGCTCAATATAGAAATGGTCCTTCTAAGACATATTTCAGGCACTCAGATATTGTATGTTTCCTTATCTTGGAGTTTGTGGAGGGAAAATGATGTGGTTAGAGAATCAAATTCGATTATATTTGGTTAGTTTCTCCGTATGACAAATGGTATTTAAATTCACAGCTCAAGATCATGGTTCATGTCTTATAGCTTATTTTGCAGGTGCAGACAGTCCAGTCATAATCGCATGCAAATTAAGACAAAGGAAAAGCATAACTCACGTAACAATCTTTGCCTTCACGTTGGTACCTCGCCTCCCTCAGGTCAACAACACTGCGCCTCACTTTCTCTCCACGATATTCAAATACCTAAAGCAAGAACTTGATAAATTAGTACATAGGAGCAATGGAATGACAAAAATGACTAGATAAAAAACATTTCAAACAAAAATATAGTAATGGAAATGTTTAATTGCATAATTACAATTCCATAATATGTAAATTTGTATACCATTTCTCCTTCGAGAATGTTTCTTCGAGCAAAAACACCCCATCCATGTATCCCGGATTTACCAAAACAGACCCGGAGATTTTCAGATTTCTGTCATATTAAGTAACTTTAGATGTCACACTCTAAAAACAACACTACCATGTAGCTGAAGTTAATTTCTTGCTTACAATCAACCAATAACGATGAAAAAACACTTGCCTGTAGATAACTAAGGCGCTCTATGAATGTTGAAAAGCCCTTGCAATCTGCTACTTCCTGCAAAAGGATAGATAAATGGTGTTGGTTGAACTCCCTTGCCAAATACCAAATTATGTGATAGGCTGATAGCTGTTTAGGCAATAATGGAAAAGGCAAACATTCAGAGAAAATGTTTCATACACTGCGTGAAGTTAAAAAATCTATCTCATCCAATGGATG